GTCTTGTCAACTTTAAAAATCACTTTGCATGGGATCCAGCTATGCTGGTGCAGAGTGAATTGCAGAAACTGGGCCTACAAAGACCTGTGGACTGTAGTTACCCCCATGAGGTCAGGGAGGCTATTCACAATGGGTAAAGTTAATTATTTACAGAATCAGGACTTTGGCTTGGTAGCATCGGAGTTTTCCCAAGAAGGATGTTACAGTATAGAAATGCGTCATATTCTTTATAACTAAGAGGAGCTGGACCTAGTTATAACACTTTTGGGCTTTTACAATTCATCCTGTTCTTCAGAAAAAAGATGGGGAAGGGAAACATGTGGCTTCCTTTAGCTTTGACAGGAATTTTATATTACTCAGTGGAATTCACCCAGGAGGACAGGAAATCCCTTGCTAGACAGGGAGAATTTTAAAGGCTCATGACTGTACACAATGGGGTACATACTAACTATAATTTAAGGGTACATATACACCCAAGGTGGAAGTGTAATTTTCAGCTTGTGTAGACATTTGTGAATTACTTCTGAGTTAGCACCCTAGAAAGAGGAACAATAGAACAGGCAGCAAGACAGACTAACCACCCCAACTACAACCCAGGGACTCTAGATAAGTACAGACCCTACCTTCCTAAACCAGGACTCTTTGGTCTGGATCATGGATGTTGGTGGACCAGAGATGCCTGGGCTGGTAGCCTTGTTAGGCGCCTGTGGCAGGGGGGCTGGCAGCTGGAAGTCCTGCCAGAGCTGGGACCCTGGTGAAGACAGTGGCAGCAAGGCCGGGGCCAGCATTCAGCAACCCAAGCCGAGCATCTGGGGATGGCATCCAAACCCAGCGGCAGTGAGGCCAGGGCTTGGGGCTGGAATCCAGTAGCCCAAGCCTGGCAGCAGTGTGGCTTGGGCCTGGGGTTGGTGTCCAGGAGCCTGAGCCTGGGAGCAGTGGGGCTATGGCCTGGGACTGGCATGTGACAGCCTGAGCCTCCTGGCAGCGGGTCCAGCCAGGGCCAGAAGGCAAGCGGATGGCAGAGAAGGGTGGCAAGCTGGGAGGCTGATGGCAGGAGACCTCGTCTGGTCCAGCAAATTCCTTCATTCAGGAAGGTAAGGGTGCAATTTATGGAGGATTAAGGGTCTGTAGTCCCCCTCCCGACTTTGAACCCTCTGGTGATTGGGCAACACCAAAACAGATGGAATTCAGTGTTGATAAGTGAAAAGTAATGCACATGGAAAAAAATAGAACTGGAAGGGACCTCGCGAGGTCATCGAGTCCAGTCCCTTGTTCTCACAGCAGGACCAAGCACAGGAACCAGATCAGTGGTTCCCAAACCTTTCAACATCACGTACCCTTTTTGATTTTTGAGAAACCCTCATACTCCTCCCCCTCTCCAAAATAGCAGCAAAACTTGTGGAGGAAAAAAAAAAAGGAACTGACCGGGGACGAAAAACAAAAATAGCAGCAAAACTTGGGGGATATTGACGGGGGCGGGAGGCTGGGTCACCTCCCCAAGGAGGCATGCCCCCCAGTTTGGGAACCCATGGTCTAGATCATCCCTGATAGATGTCTATCCATTCTGCTCTTAAATATCTCCAGTGATGGAGATTCCATAACCTGCCTAGGAAATATATTCCAGTGTTTAACCACCCTGACAGTTAGGGAAATCTTCCTAATATTGAACCTAAACCTCCCTTGCTGCAATTTAAGCCCATTGCTTCTTGTCCTATCATCAGAGGTCAAGGAGAACAATTTTTCTCCCTCCTCCTTATAACACCCTTTTAGATATTTGAGAACAGTTATCATTTTTCCTCTTAGTCTTCTTTTTTCTAAACAAAACAAGCCCAATTCTTTCAGTCTTCCCTCGTAGCTCATGTTTTCTAGACCTTTAATCATTTTTGTTTCTCTTCTTTAGACCTTCTCCAGTTTCTCCACATCTTTCTTGAAATGTGATGCTCAGGGCTGGACACAATACTCCAATTGAGGTCTAATCAGCACAGAGAAGAGCAGAAGAATGACGTCTCATGTCTTGCTCACAGCATCCTGTTAAGGCATTCCAGAATCATGTTTGCTTTTTTTACAACAGTATCACACTGTTGGCTCATATTTAGCTTGTGATCCACTATGATCCCTAGAGCCCTTTCAGCAGCACTCCTTCCTAGACAGTCACTTCCCATTCTCAGCTACCCTAGACTAACACGGCTACATTTCTATCACTATTCCACATGCAAGGCACTTCCCATTCTGTATGTGTGAAACTGATTGTTCCTTCCTAAGTGGAGCACTTTGCATTTGTCCTTATTAAACTTCATCCTATTTACCTCAAAGTTAGTTTAGTTAATTCAAACTGAGCTAATTCGAATTAGTGCATCTAGACCTAAAAACTCATTCGAATTAGCGTTTTGCTAATTCAAACTATCATGTCCACATTGAGTGGACGCTGAACCGAAGTTAAGGCTGCCCGGAACCAGTGCCAGCAGGGCACCAGGTTAGGACTTAGAGTGTGGAGCTGCTGCCTCAGGCTAGCCGAGAGCTGCGCTTAAAGGGACCCGACCCCCCACCCTAGACAGACAATTCTCAGGGTTCCCTGCTTGCTTGTTTAACTCGATGAGAGACAGCAAAGCAGTCCTGTCTTAGAGTGCCCTGAGTGCCCACACTCGGCACATCACAGCACTTGACCATCAGCCCGGCTGCACTTGCCGCAGGCTGCCATCCAGAGGGGTCAATCGGGGGGCTGTCAGGATCCAGGAGGCCCTACAGGAGAGCTTCCACCCCAAGGAGCCCGCAGAGCCTCCCCCGTCCTCCCCATCGGGGGCTCGTGCCCCATTCCTCCCTCACCTCCTTCCACTTCGCCCTCTCTAGCCCCCCTTCCTGATATAAAAAATAAAGGACATGTGTGTTCAAAAATAGAAACTCTCTTTATTTAACAAAACTGGGGGGGGGAGGGATTAACCTGTGGGGAGACTGGGATAAGGAGGTAGGAGAGGGGAAGAGAGAGGGTGGGAGAGGGGAGGTGGAAATCTGGGAGGAGGGAGCTAGACGGAGGAAGCCAGGGGAAGAAGGAGGAGGGGAAGTATCCAACTATGGTACTCCATATCTTCAGTACAGTGTTCAGATGTGGGCTCCTCACTTCAAAAAATATATTTTGGCCTTGGAAAGGGTTCAAAAAAGGGCAACTACAATGTTTAGGTTTGGAACAGGTCCCATATGAAGAGAGGCTAAAGAGACTGGGACTTTTCAGCTTAGAAAAGAGGAGACTGAGGGTATATCTACACTACCCCGCTGGTTCAAACTAGCGGGGGTAATGTAGTCATCCGCAGTTGCAAGTGAAGCCCGGAATTTGAATTTCCTGGGCTTCATTTGCATGTTGCCACCATTTTTAAATGTCCTCTAGTTCGGACTCCATGCCCCGCGGCTACACACGGCATGAACTAGGTAGTTCAGACTAGGCTTTCTATTCCGAACTACCGTTACTCCTCGGGGCACGGAGTCCAAACTAGCGGACATTTAAAAATATTTAAACATTTAAATATCCCAGGCTTCATTTGCATCTTGCCGGGCGCTGCCATTTTTAAATTCTCCTTAGTGCGGACTCCATGCCTGCGGCTACACGTGGCACGGAGTAGGTAGTTCGAATTAGGCTCTCTAATTCGAACTACCGTTACTTCTCATGGAACGAGGTGTACCCTTTAAGGACTCCGGGGCTGGGAGGGGGGCAGAAGAGTTTCCCTGGCTTGGCCCAGAGTGGCCACCAGGGCAAGCTGGGAAGGGCTAGTCTCCAACTAGTTTGAATTAAGTGGCTACACAGCCCTTAATTCAAACTACTTAATTCGAACTAGGCGTTAGTCCTCGTAGAATGAGGTTTACCTAGTTCGAATTAAGCGCTCCGCTAGTTCTAATTAAGTTCGAATTAGTGGTTTGCATGTGTAGAGCCTATGAAAGTTAATTTGAAATAACGGCTGTTAGTTCAAATTAACTTTGTAGTGTAGACATACCCTAACAAAGTAAGTATAAACATTAAAATTTAAGCCTAAACAGTGTCCCTTAAGTGACTTGCCACAAGATGTCAGAATATGTTAGTGTTAGAGTTGAGTGGGTCCAAAATGTATTTAATTTTCTTTCTTTTATATAGAAATTAGATACAGTGCTCCTGTCAGCTAACTGCAATGTTACCTGCCAAAAAAGTAGAGTTTTCCAGTACCTTAGGAGCCCCTAAATAGAGATGGTGTGCAAGTGGGGGGGGGAGGGTAGGGCAGATGGAGTTGGTTCCCCTGGCACCATTTGGTGCTTGGCTTGTACTGAGCATGCTCAGTAACACTGCTGAAGCCTCTGTCCTCAGTCCACCCCGCAAGCTTCCACTCCTCCCCCCCATCACGGCATGCACAGGTTGCCCCTTCCTCCCCTTCCCCCCCAAAAATCTGAAATGGAGTCCCTGTGTACCCCTTAGGTCCACAGGGTTAGCACAATAGTACAATCAAACCTAGCCGGTTACACCTCCAGCTCCAAGGGCAGATCTCTCTGTAGATGATGATGTGGCCAACCAGGCAACGGCAAACAATGAGTTTTTTCCTAAGCAGCAAAGCCACTGAATAAGCCAGTCTGCAAATAATTTCTGCAAGGGAAGTTACTCAGTGCTCTAATGTTGAGAGCCTGTTTGCCAGATTGTGCACGTACCTGAACTTGTTTTTAATAGCGTATCTACCACCTTGAAATTAAAAAAATAACATGAGGATACCATGCTGTTTCATGACACCGTCATATATTACTCTGGCTAAAATAGATATTTCACCTCTTAAACTGCCTCAGAATGTTGCAGCTAATGAGATTTTATAGTTCATGCCAAACACTCTCATATCAATTTCCCTGTTTTTACCATAAGAGAATGAATAATATATTTTGCTCTGTGTCTAGCAAGCTAATTCTCTTCCACTGGAGAAACATGA